TAAGCTCGCTGGACAGGACCTCTGTGACTTGTTTGATGACTAAGCAGAAAAGGAGAGGAGCGAGGGGTATATATATATATATATATATATATATATATATATATATATATATATATATATATATATATAAATAAACAAATAAATAAATAAATAAATAAATAAATAAAGTTGTAAGTCACGTGAACAAAATGAAGTAAAAAAAAAAAATTGCCAACAGTGGCTGAGGTTGATGTCGACTGATTTCCTTCAAAATTTGCACTCTTACAGATATGCATGTGTTCAATAAGGTGTATAAGTTCCATGCAAGTAGCTTAATAACAAAAATGAGAACCCCCCATAAAAAAAAAAAAAAAAAAAAAAAAATTATATAGTTGGATAAAAATACAGTGGCACCTCAGTTATCGTAGTTTTCGGTTCTCGTAGTATATTTCTAGATTAGGTTGTCGTAGTTTGTCTCTGGTCGTAGTTTGATTATACACGTACGAGTCCATGGCGAGTGTGGTGCTTCAGTTTTCCAGTGTCTCCTGCCTAGTGATGATCGTGCTTGGATTCTTTTTCATTGTTTTTGTGCTTTTTTGGTTTCTAAACATGAAAGTTTATATTATATATCATGACATGGAAAACATGCATGCCAAGAAAGTCAGTGGTAATGTTCAATTTAAGAAAATAGTTGTGAGGATGACAATAGAGGAAAAATAAGAGATCATTCATAGTGAGACAATGTGATGTCTCACTACAGACAAGTGTTAAAACATAGGAAAAACTAGTGTCTATAGACAAATTCTTAGTAAGACAAGCAAGCAGTGAGCCACAACCAGGTCCTAGTGATATTACCTGTAAATCGTAAGAGAGAAATTGAATACCCCACAAATGTCATCACTGCGGTTATAATGGAAGGGGATTCCCCCTTCTAAACACTAACACTTCTCCCCTTCCTCACTGTCTTCCATACGCCAACATGAGTTCTCCTATAAAGGTAAGGTACCTAAGAGTATTATTCTGTATAAAATGTATTTTTAGTTAATATTTTTGGGGGGTATGAAACGGATTAATTCAATTTACATTGTCTTATGGGAAAATTCGTTTCGATTTTCGTAGTTTCAGTTTTCATACCATCTCTGGGAATGAATTAATTACGAAAACAAAAGTACCACTGTACAAAGTTTAATCTGTTATTAGATGTTATTATGATAGTAATGTTATAGAAATGATTTCAGTTGACACTTGTGTTTGATGTTAATTTTGGAACATTTTGAACATTCTTTGAAAAAATTATTTTAATTTTTTATCTCCATTTCTATTTAGGCTGCGATGCTGAAACTTTGACCAGTTGGAGCCCTTTTCATATACAGCTAGTCAATAAAGTTTGATTGAAATTGAACAACTTTTCAGTTTATTGAATTTTTGATGTCATGGACCCTAAATTGCACGTTATGCCCCCTAAATTGCACCAACTTCTCAGCTTCATCAAAACTAAAGTATGTCACACACAATATTTTACTTTAGTGTCTCGTGATCAGAGACCGAATTTTAACAATATACAGAGATAAAACATTTTTTGGAAATAATTTTTTTTCAGTGCACCACAGGGGCATCATATTTGCAGTAGTTAAGTACATGGATGGTGAAATACTAAAGAAATTGTTAACAACCTAAGTGAGACCAAAGCTGGAATATGTAATACAGTACTTGTAAGGTTAGCTTGAGATGATTTCGGGGCTTAACGTCCCTGTGGCCCAGTCCTCGACCAAGCCAACTTTTTTGTTACACATCCCCCAGGAAGCAGCCCGTAGCAGCTGTCTAACTCCCAGGTACCTATTTACTGCTAGGTGAACAGGGGCATCAGGGTGAAAGAAACTATGCTCATTTGTTTCCGTCTCCACCGGGGCTCGAACCTGGAACCTCAGGACTACGAATCCCGAGCGCTGTCCACCCTGCTGTCAGGCTCCTATATGGTGCCCATATCTTAACATCGTGCTACGCAACGTGTCTTGAGGAGCGCAGCGCAGAGCGCCACGTGGCATTTTTAGGTATAGGGAGCGATTCAAAACTCCCACGGGTACATGGGGCTCACATCCGGTGTCTCAGGACCTGTATACAAATGGCATTCTTTTTTTCAATTGTTGGTAACATTCCCGAGTGTGAGAGCATCAGTACTAAGTGAGAAACCAAGGCTAGCACATGCAGAATGAGCTAACAGCACCGCTGTTCAGCTTGTGACCACAGCATCGCCTAAAAATGTCAAAATATATATGTAACTTATTATTTAGCAATGACAGTATTACAGAAGACCCCTGACTGTGACAAAAATGACCAAAATTCTGATAATAGTAGGATTGTGGTGATAATTAATGCTGTGCATAGTATGGTAGGAGAATTCTTTGTGAGTGAGGGAGGGAGGGAATGTCAGTTGACTGTGTGACAACCTCTGTTATTGTCATACCAGCTTAGTGGTTTGCTATGGTGAACACAAATGTAGATATTTATATATAATGTGTGTATATACTGTAATAACAGAATGAACAGTATGCTGGGAGGAGCCATTATGGTGAGGGAGGTGTTGATGAGGGAGGGAGTGAGGCTGCCGTCTGCTAGCTGCAGTGTCACTTGTCATGCAGATCTTAGTGGTCACTGTGTTGTTTGGACACCATAACAGCTTAGTTGTACAGTTATGGTGAACAAAACATGCAGATACATATATAAAGTGTGATAACAGTAAAAGGAGTATGTTGGTAGGACGAATGTTGCCGAGTGAGGTGTTGGTGAAGGAGGGAGGGAGGGAGGGAGGATGCGTTTGCAAGTTGGTGTGTGGAGACCATTCTTGTTGTTTGGTCTCGCCATACAACGTAGTGGTTTATTATGAACATGTAGATACTAATATATAACATGTGTATATATAGTGTAATAACAGCAAAAGAAGTATGTTGGTAGGAAGTATGTTGCTGAGTGTATGTTGAAGGAGGGAAGGATTTGGTGTCTGCTAGCTGGTGTGTGGCAGCCACTCTTGTTGTTTGGACTCACCAAACCAACTTAGTGGTTCGTTATGGTGAACACATATATAGATATATACAACGTGTTTATATAGTGTAATGACAGCAAAAACACCGTTTGATTGATTGTATAATATAATACACATGTCACATATATGAGCCCCATAATTTTGAGCATAGCGATGTTCCATGCATTGACCTATATAAATTCCACAAATTACAAACTTCTGAATAATAATACAGCAAAAAACACAGAAGAAACGAATGATGCACACCAAAATAATTGTGAAAAATTATATTCACGGCAACTGCCACCCCACGGGGTGGCGGGGTCGAGTGGCCATGAGCACTCCATCACTCAGCGCCCATAATTTGCTCAACTTCTAAGCTCCATCACAACTAAAGTATGTCACATACAATATTTGTTTTTATATTCATGTGATCAGAGACTACATTAACAATATAAGGGAACAAAAATTGTGGCAAAGAGTTTATTTTTTGCACACCACAGATGTGTTATATTTTAAGGCCGCCCAGAACAGTGGTTAAGCAGCACACAAACTGGAAAAGGTTCAAAGCCATACAATTAAATGGCTCCTGGAACTGAAGTACAAGCAGTACAAGGAGTGGTTAGAGGCATTAAATATACCAAACTAGAAGATAGAATAAAAAGAGGCAATATGATCACTACATACAAAATAATAATGGGAATTGACAAAATTGATAGGGAAGAATTTCTGAGACCTGGACTGCAAGAACAAGAAGTTGTAGATTTAAGCTAACTAAGCAAAGCTGCCAAAGAAATATAATAAAATTCACTTTTGCAGAGTGGTAGATGGTTGGAACAAGTTAAGTGAGAAGGTGGTGGAGGTTAAAACCGTCAGTAGTTTCAAAGCATTATATGATAAAGAGTTTTGGGATGACAGGACATCTTGAGCATAGCTCTCATCCTGTAGGTAAAAGGTAAACTTTTTCAGCCTGTAGGTAAAAGATAAACTTACACTTAGGTAAAAACACCTAGGTAATTACCTAAGAGGTAACTAAATCAAGTTTATGTTAAATTTTTTGAAAAATACAACACTTATATGGTTTCCTTACTCTAACCCTTATGTATTACTAAAATTTAATTATATAAAGCCCCTTGAGACAATGCTAATGCTGTCCTATAAGAGGTTTCGTGTGTCTTACTGTACATCACTTACATGAAAAGCATTTTAGACGACTGATAAAGCTTTTACGTTGCATGAATTCTAATGTGTCTCAATAGATGTGATTTACCTGAAAAGTCTTTTAGACATACTGAACAGTGATATGGTTTCTCTCCCGTGTGAATCCTCATGTGTGTTATTAGACCTGATTTATATGAAAAGTCTTTTAGACACTCTGAACAGTGATATGGTTTTTCTCCTGAATGTATCCTCATGTGCATTATTAGGCTCGATTGACATAAAAAGTTTTTTAGACACTCTGAGCAGTGATATAGTTTCTCTTCTGTATGACTCTTCATGTGCATTATTAAAGCTGATTTGTCTGAAAAGTCTTTTGGACATTCTGAACAGTGATATGGTCTCTCTCCTGTATGAATCCTCATGTGTGTTATTAAACTTGATTTTTGTGAAAAACATTTTAGACACACAGAACAGTGATATGGTTTCTCTCCTGTATGTATTCTCAAATGTTTTACTAGACTTGATTTAACTGAAAAGTCTTTTAGACATTCTAAACAGTGATACGGTTTCTCTCCTGTATGTATCCTCAAATGTTTTACTAGACTTGATTTAACTGAAAAGTCTTTTAGACATTCTGAACAGTGATATGGTTTTTCTCCTGTATGAATTCTAATGTGTGTTATTAAAGCTGATTTACCTGTAAAGTCTTTTAGACATTCTGAACAGTGATATGGTTTCTCTCCTGTATGAATCCTCATGTGTGCCATTAGATTTGATTTTTGTGAAAAGTCTTTTAGACACATTGAACAGCGATAAGGCTTCTCTTCTGAATTAACACTCATAATTAACTTTTGATATTTCTGAAAGTAGTTTTAAATTCTTGTATGATATTACTGTATATTAAATTTTTTATATGCCATTTTTGAACATTCAACAATGATGGGGTTTTTCTTCATTATATGTTTCTGTACAGTTTACTCCCATATACAGATCTGAATTGTTATTTGATCCAAAAAATTCTAAAGTATTACCTCTAATGAAACATCTACAGCTTATTAGAAAAGTCTTGTAAACATTTTTACTATTACTCTCCTGAATAAATTCTAGTTGCCTTTATAAATATTAGAGAAAAGTCTAAATAACATATTTATGATGTAGTTTTTAGTTTGCACAAGCTTTTGCATATTACAAAAGCAAATGTTGTTAAAGATGCTAAACACTTGATTTGTGGGATAGACAGGTAATATGTTACACGGCAACCAGCCTAGAGCAGCCAGGTTATGAAGTGTTACTTCTGCTGTCACCAGATAGCATCGAAGGTCAATTAAGCTACTGGAAAAAATCCCATTCCTTTTGCATGAATATAAAGCAAATAACTGTCAGGACATAAAAAAAACAGAATGTAAAATTTTATAATATGTATCCCACTGGTGTTAATGATTCACAATTACTAAGAAAAGTGTTTTATATTATAAAATATGCTGTACAATATTTTCTGTGAATTACCGGGTGTAACAAGAGACATACAAATACACTCTTTCAGATGCAGCCAACAGCAGCAAAATTAGCATCTGTGCTTGACTTTGTGAACTATATATTTTATTGCTGTACTGAGAGATGTCTTATTATAAATACAGCCACAGCACAAGAATCAAGCACATATGGTTTGTAATTTGTGTGAACATGTGTGTGGTGTTTACAAGAATGTGCCCAATGAACTTCAAGATTAAATTACCTGTCAAAGATATGAATCCATATTTACTATAAACTACACAGATATCTATTTTCTTTTTTGAATACTCTTTCAATACAGTAGTTCATATAGAGGAAATAGTGTGTGTGTGATGTTTTGTAATGAAAAATGTTAGTTAAAGTTTTGACACTAAGAGCAGAATTAATTTATCCTACAAAATTATTCAATTAAATAACCTCGAAATATTTTCTTGCCAAATAAAAATATTAAAAACATTTATAACACTTATACACAATACATTATTAATAAGTACTAAGATCTTAAAATCAATCAATGATACACCATTTTTTTAAACAGTGCATGAGATGATGATAATATAGTGCATGTGATGTTGACAATACATGTACAGTGCTTCAGATGAAAGTATGTTTACTGCAAATGATGGTATGGCAACACATGACAAAATTTGAAGGAGTTGAGTAAACATCCACCCAAAGGATGTTGAGGATGTGGATGTTATAATCAGGATGTTGAAATGGACTGAAGCAAATCTTACCCCTGTACATGTAATATTTATAATAATGTAATAAATTTCATGACACTGCTGATGGTACCATGTATGCGATATTTCTGACACATGAGCTCTAATGCCACTGAGTGTTGGCACTGCAGGTGTTATTCTTCTGGTGACAGTAGGAGCTGCAAAGGAAAAGATTGAGAGTCAGGTCTTCAAGTCAATGACTGAAAAATAAAGATTCTTTGACATCAAATAAACACTTCCCAACAGGGACAAATTTTTGCTAGGTATGCCAATACTGCAAAGTTTCCTCTGCCATGAACCAAAGTCATGGCCAGCAGACTATATACCAGTATACATCAAATAAACCTTGTAAATCTGTACAATGACATTCCAGATATCACAAAATTTAAAATTAATTAAAAATTAATTTTTAGTGTATGAGATAATAATACAGTATATACACATGAACATTTTGAAAGCATAATTAACCCTTAAACTGTGCAACACATCATATAATTTGTTGAGTAACTGTCGCAAAATTGTGCACCACTTCATATGATATTTTGGAGTACTGCGCAAGATTTAAAAGTCCCCAGGATACACAAGGTTCACATCAGCTTCCTCAGGGCTCTTGTAAGCAAGCGCCATAAAAAAAAAAAAAATCGTGGGCAACATTCACGGGTGTGAAAGCCTCAGTATTGAGTGGGCCACCAAGGCTGGTGCAAGCAGCATTAGCTCACAGCACTGCTGTTCATCTTGTGACCAGAGCATTGCCTAAAATTTTATAAAAATATACATGTAGCTGGTATTATTTAGTGCTGATAGTATTACAGAAGACCCCCTGACTGTGATAAAAAATGACCAGGATTCTGATAATAGCAGGATCATTTGCACTGTACGCAGTATTGTGGGAGGAGTAAAGTAGAGGGAGAGAAAGCGGTAGCGTCGTCTGCCGAATCTGTGTTGCCACCTATTACTGTCTGCACTCACCATACCAGCTTAGTGGTTCGCTATGGTGAACAAATATGTAGATACTTATATATAACATGTATATGTAGTGTAATAACAGCAAAATGAGTATGTTGGGAGAAGTTATTTTGGTGAGGGAGTGGCATCATCTGCATGATTGTCATACCTGGTTAATGGGGTTCTGGGAGTTCTTCTACTTCCCAAGCCTGGCCAGAGGCCAGGCTGGACTTGTGAGAGTTTGGTCCACTAGGCTGTTGCTTGAAGAGGCCTGCAGGCCCACATACCCACCACAGCCCAGTTGGTCCAGCACTCCTTGGAGGAAACAATCTAGTTTCCTCTTGAAGATGTCCACGGTTATTCTGGCAATATTTCTTATGTTTGCTGGGAGGGTGTTGAACAACCGTGAACCTCTGATGTTTATACAGTGTTCTCTGATTGTGCCTATGGCACTCCTGCTCTTCACTGGTTCTATTCTGCATTTTCTTCTGTATCGTTCACTCCAATACATTGTTATTTTACTGTGTAGATTTGGTACTTGGCCCTCCAGTATTTTCCATGTGTATATTATTTGATATCTCTCTCGTCTTTTTCCTAGTGAGTACATTTGGAGGGCTTTGAGACGATCCCAATAATTTAGGTGCTTTATCACGTCTATGCATGCAGTATATGTTCTCTGTATTCCCTCTATTTCAGTAATCTCTCCTGCTCTGAAGGGGGAAGTGAGTACTGAGCAGTACTCAAGACGGGACAACACAAGTGACTTGAAGAGTACAACCATTGTGATGGGATCCCTGGATTTGAAGGTTCTCGTAATCCATCCTATCATTTTTCTGGCTGACGCAATATTTGCTTGGTTATGCTCCCTAAACGTTAGGTCGTCAGACATTATTATTCCCAAATCCTTTACATGCTGTTTTCCTAGTATGAGCACATTTGATTGTGTTTTGTACCCTGTATTATGTTTAACACCCTATGTGGTGTAATTATATGTGGCGCACCCTGTGCGCCACCCCTCAACTATGCATAGTGGGTCCCAGCGTTCCACGGGAGCGCGCGTTAATTCTGAAAAGTGTATACTCTCTTCAACTTTGTCACCTCAATTCTCGTCCTACGAGATTAAATTTGGTATCATTGTGTTCGCAATAGAATTCTCTACAGCACTAAATGCATATAAACTCCAAGAGCCCAGCTAATTACCCGCAGCAAACAGAGAAAGTGCGAACGAGTTACCCAGGAGCGCGCAAAAGTGATAAAATGTGTTCACTCTTTTCACTCTGGTCACCCCAATTTTCGTCCTAGGTCTTTCATTTTGGTATCAATGGGTTCGCAATAGAATTCTCTAGAGGAATATTAGCATATAAAATAAAAAACCTGGTCACGCTTCACCCGCCGACGTGTTGAAGACTGGCCACGCGTTAGCTGCGAGGGAGCGCCCAGACGCTTTCCAGTTACACTCCCAATTCCTGCTCACAAATGTTTAGTATTTTTACCGGTTGCTAATCTCAATTTTCGTGTTACAGCGCTCAATTAGGTATGAAATTGTTCCTAATAGAATGCTTTAGATGGATATGTGCATATAAGGACCAATTGAAGAACAATATTGCTAGTACAATATGTGAAGGTATGAACAAAAAAAAATATACAAAATAATACAACTTTTTGTACTTACCACTTCAGTGTTGTGTGTTGCACATGACATGGGTTGAACATTTGTTTTATCGCGCACATTTTAAAACCAGTCCCCAAAAAATCGGATAAAAACCTGATTTTTGGCAATTATTTTAGTAAACCGAGATTACCGACAGTAAAAATATGACGCAATGCTGCGTCGTTACCAGACGAAAGTGTTAAGGTCCTCATTTTTACCATATCTAAGTACCTGGAATTTATCACTGTTAAACATCATGTTATTTTCTGGTGCCCAGTCAAAAACATTATTAATATCAGCTTGAAGTTTTTCAATGTCTTCTGCCGAGGTAATTTTCACTCTGATTTTTGTGTCATCTGCAAAGGATGATACGAAGCTGTGACTTGTATTTTTGTCTATATCTGATATGAGAATAAGGAAAAGCAACGGTGCAAGGACTGTACCCTGAGGTACAGAGCTTTTAACTGCACTTGGACTCGATTTTATATGGTTGACTATTACTCACCGAGTCCTGTTTGACAGAAAACTGAGTATCCAGCGTCCTACTTTACCAGTTGTTCCCATTGACTTCATTTTGTGTGCTATCACGCCATGGTCACATTTATCGAAAGTCTTTGTGAAGTCTGTGTATGTCACAGCAGCATTCTGTTTTTCCTCTAATGCCTCAGTGACTTTGTTGTAATGATCAAGTAGCTGTGAGAGGCACGATCTTCCCGCTCGAAATCCATGTTGACCAGGGTTGTAAAGGTCATTGGTCTCCATGAAATTGGTGACCTGACTCCTAATCACTCTTTCAAATACTTTTATTATGTGCGACATTAGTGCAACTGGTTTATAATTCTTTGTCAATGCTTTGCGCCCTCCCTTGTTTAGAGAGGCTATGTCTGCTACTTTAAGTGCATCTGGTATCTCCCCCGTGTCCAAGCTCTTCCTCTGCACTATACTGAGTGCCTGTGTTACCGGCACTTTGCATTTCTTTATAAATATTGAATTCCATGAATCTGGACCCGGGGCCGAGTGCATGGGCATGTTTCAATTTCTCTTTCAATGTCTAGTATGCTCGTGTTGATATCAGTTATATTTACAGGGGTTTAGATATCCCGCATAAAGAAATTGTCTGGATCTTCCACTTTCATGTTGTTTATTGGAGTGCTAAACATGTCTTCATACTGCTTTTTTAGGATTTCACTAATTTCTTTGTCATTCTCAGTGTATGAACCTTCACTTGTACGAATAGGTCCAATACTGGCAGTGGTTTTTGCTTTTGATTTCGCATATGTGAAGAAGTATTTTGGATTTTTCTTTATTTCCTGAATTGCTTTCTGTTCTAACTGCTTTTCTTCAGTTTGATATGAGTGTTTCAATTTCCGCTCGATTTCTTCAATCTCCCTATTTAAATTATTCCTTCTTTGACGGGAAATTAGTGTCTGCATAAGCATTTCTGCTATTTTTTTTCCTTCTTTTATAGTGTTGTCTGCGTTCTCTTTCTACATTGGATCTCTTTCTGGCTTTCCTCAAAGGAACATGTTTTAGACAGACTTGATACGCTTCCGATGTCAGTTTTTCTATTCCTTTTGTAGGACTTGTATTACTTAGAACAGTTTCCCATGGAATGTTTGTAAGTTCCCTGTTTATTTTCTCCCAGTCTATCCTTTTATTATTAAAATTGAATTTACTGAATAACCCCTCTCGCTTTATCAACGTTTTAGGTCTATTCTGAGTATTGATGGTCGTTTGCACTTCAATGAGCTTGTGATCTGAGTACAGTATGTGGTATCTGATATCATAATGTCCATGATAATGTCTTCATTGTTCGCAAAGACCAGATCTAGAATATTTTCATTTCTCGTTGGCTCCGATATCTGCTGGTTGAGTGAAAATTTGTCACAGAATCTAAGTAGTTCTCTAATCTGTGGTTGGTTAGGTCCCGATAGATTTCCTGGTATAATATTATTGTTTGCTATTCTCCATCTGAGACTAGGCAAGTTGAAGTCACCTAGGAAAATAATATCAGGTATTGGGTTCTCCAAATTATCAAGGCTATTCTCTATTTTGTTTATCTGTTCTGTGAATTCCTTGACCGTTGCATCTGGCAGTTTGTATATTAGAATATTCACTAAGTTTATTTTCTCTATTTTTAATCCCAATATCTCTACCACCTCATTTGTAACGTTAAGGAGCTCCGAGCATACAAGGTCTTCCCTAATATACAGACCCACTCCTCCATGTGACCTAATTTTCCTATCACACCTGTATAGGTTATATCCTGGAATCCAGATCTCACTGTCTAAGAGTTCTCCTGCATGGGTTTCTGTGAAAGCTCCAAATACTGCATTTGACTCCGTGAGGAGGCCATTTATGAATTGTACTTTGTTGTTTGTTCTTGCTTTTAGTCTTTGTATGTTGGCAAAGATGAATGAGGTTACTCTTGTTACGGCCCTCTCGGGTCGCAACTGGGTTCGTACTCTGATGTTGTTAGAGGGAAGGGTATCCGGCCCCAAGCCAGTAGTGGCTTTCAAGGGATGTGATCCGGAACGCAAGTAAACTAAAAGGGGAAGGGAA